CTGCCTCGCTTTTCCTCTGAAAGCTGGCCTGAGACGGCACTGTCTCTTCCTTCAGCCTGGCTGACTAGAATCTGATATAATTGCTGGATTAGCTTTCATGCACTTATTTAGAATAAGGGCGTTGTGCAACCATCCCAGGGCGGGTAGGCTCACCATAGGTTCCAACAGTTTAAAAGAGAACTTTGGAGCCCTTGGCGTCATCTTCACAGGTTTTAATAGCACCCACGGGATTCAGGCCAGCAGGGAGACAGCAATTGAACCCTCCCTCCCCCACGATGGTGACTTGGTCTTTTTAGCTCCCCCCCCTCCGCCCCCAGGCACAGTTGTGCACACTTGCGCAAGAACACACACTCATGCTCAGGTGTCCATAATCAGGCACGTGTGCCCCACACCCACTCGCCTTCTACGTTGGCAGGATGAAGGCCACAGGTGAAGCCGCAGAGGCTGGAGGCCTAAAAAGCCTGATTAATTCATTTGCCCTACAAAGGGTTACCTCTGTCCAGCTAGAGTGATTATCCCACAGCCTTATAGACCTAATCCAATTTGGCGTCTCATTCCCAGCCTATGTTAAGAAAGCTGGCATTAAAATTGAATTATTATACACAATGATGGACCTAGGTCTATTTTTAATGGCAACCAGTGAAATTTGGAACATGTCAAATTGTCATTTACCCACCCTGGGAGCCCTTTAGAAGGCAATGTGGAGTATTAACACCCTCCATAAACCTAGTACTATTAACCCGTGGAAAGTTGTTAGGAAAATACCTTATCGGGTGTTTTAAATCTCTATCTCTCTGCACTTGTCTTTCATTTGTTCCTGTTGCTCAGCTCTTCCTCCTTCGCCACTAAAGTTTACCCTTAAGGGGTCTTATTTGGATCATGACTTGACTGTGAAAAGAAAGGTAATTCAAAAAAAGGAATACCGAAAGAATATTTGATGCTATCAAGACATTGTTGATTAGATTTTAGCTATAATCATAGTAGTGAGACTTTAAAAAAAAAAAATCCTTTCCCTTGGCAGTACATGCTGAAATGTAAACTGCACCTTAAAGTGATGCCTGAGAGTCTCTTTATTTTTTTTTAAATTATTATTTTTTTAACATTTATTTATTTATACAAGCACTGGGTACAGTTAGAAGCGCGGGAGGGTGAGAGAATTCACCAGAGCCAGAGCGGGGAGCAGAGCAGGCAGACTGACGAAATAGGGGCACTTCTGAGGGGAGCTGCAGAGGCTGCGGGCAGCTTTGTCAACCCAGCGCTCAACCACTGTGCCACCAGGGAGGCCCTGAGAGTCTCTTTAAAATAATAGTGGGGAAGCGCTGTGACTGCTGGCGTGAGTGAAACAGAATTGGACTAGAGTTGGTAAGTGTTGAAGATGAGAGATGGAGACTGGTTTCATGATATGGTTCTCGACTTTTGTATACATTTGAGATTTTCTATAATTAAAAACGTGGGTTTTTTTTTTTTAAATAACCTACTTTTAGGAAAATAACAGATGAGCTCATCCAAACTAAGATGTCACCAAACTGGTAAGGATAATAGGAGTTATCTGTTTTGTGATGCATCTGCATTTAACAGGAGAAAAGCCTTCTCGACTTTTGCATTTGAGATTTTCTAATCAAATAACCAGACCTTAGATGACTCACCGCTCTGGTAAGGTGAATAACTGTTGCTTGTACTTTAAAAAAAAAAAAAAAAAAAGAAATCAAAACGAGTCAGACAGGAGCAAAGGGGAGACGGGAGGGTCAGGAGGGAAAAGGCTGCTTAACCCAAGAGCTCTCAGAGTCCCAGGCTGTTTTCTTTCTTTCATAGGACTGAATAGGATTTAATAAAGATCAGACCCATAAACACAGTTACATTTCAAAACGACTTTCAGTGCTACTTTAGTGAAGATCTTTTCCATTTTTTTGGTTAACCAGTGTTTAATAATGACTACTTTCAGAATGTTTGCTATGTATTAGACCCCTTGCTAAGTATACACATTAATTTGATCTTTACCTTAATGCTTTCAGATATTACCCCCTGTAGGGAGCAGGAATGGCCACCGAGCAGGTTTTCTAGGATCCCATGCAGACCAGGTAAAGGAGGAGTTCTGGAGCCCTCAGGGGCTTTGCAGGTCTTTTATTGGGGTTCACCAGGCATATGGCAGGCAGGGGTGCTGGGGGGCCGGGAGGCTGGCAGGCCTCAGCCCCCAGAAGGTCTTCCCTCTATCTGGGCTCTCTGGCATTCTCTCTGCTTCTCTTCTCTCGGCTTCCGTTCGTTCTTGGCTTCTGCTGGCGTCCCCTTGACACCGCCCTTAAAAGCCCAGTCTCAGCCCAGGTGAATCCCATGTACCTAGGCCCACACCCTATTCCAGGTGCCCGCCATCAGGCATGCATTCAGGACAGCAAGGATCCATCATCTATCCTGATGGCGGGAGGGCAGAAAAGCCTGACATTTTTCCTTACCCTACACCCCCATTTTACAGGTAGGTCAACAGTAACCTCTGCAAGGTCACTTGACCACTAACCAGCAGCACATTGAGGGACAGGTGGGGAGAGTCTGGCCTCTTAATTACTCAGTCACCTGGAAGGAGGCTCCCCTCAGCTTGGTCAGTGGCTGATTTACTTCCTCAGTATGTAGACCGCTCATCAAAGGTGTGTTTAGCCATGAAGTCTTGCCCCTTATTTAAGAAGAGCAATTAGCATTTAAAGTTGTGAAACACCCAAAAAAGATGTCAGACTAAAATAACAGTGATACCTTTTGGCGTCTGCCACACCAAGTAGGGGTTCCGGAGCTCTGTTCCCAAAGCAAGGAAAACCACTGCATAGTTTCCATCAGACTTGACAGCATTTCATGCAAGTCCATGAATATTTTATAATGCCTATTGAATCATTCATTTGACAAATATTGGAGTGTCTATCAGATACCAGGTGCTGTTTAGGTGCTTGGGATACATGAGTGGACAAAACAAAGACCCCACTCTGGTGCAGTCCATGGGCTGGCCAGAGGGAGACAGAACACCGAGAGATGTGACTTGCATAGGATGTTGAACCTTTGTCCTCAGTGCGATCCCTGGGCCAACAGCATCACTATCACCTCATGCTTTGCTAGAAATGCTGGCCTCCTCCCAGATCTACTGAATTCAAATCTGCATTTTAACAAGAACCCAGGTGATTCTTACACTTGCAATTTTCACCCAGTGTTAAAATGGAGGAGAGAGCTACAGTATTTAAAAAAGAGTAGTCCAGGTAGACCAAGTTGTAAAGGGAACCTTTGATTAAAAAGCTGGAGGGAGGGCCTCCCTGGTGGCACAAGGGGTTAAGCACCGCACTATGAAGCAATCCGAAGCCTCTGCAACATGAGTTCGATCCCCGGCAGGCCAGGGAGATACCCACATGGCACAGCAGACCTCTCCTGTCTCGCCCGCTGCTCCCCTCAGCAGTGTATTTCAGTCAGTCTGCCTGTTCTGCTCCCCACTCTGTCTCTGGTGAATCTTCTCACCCTCCGCATCTCTGGCCTATACCCCAGCTCTTGTTTGCATAAATAAATTTTTAAAAAAGATGGTGGGGGGGAGGGAGGACATGAACCCCGCATGTGGGTTGAGAGGTTCGCAGGCAGAGGGAAGAGTTGGAGCCGAGGTTCTAAGGCAGGTGCCTGCAGCAGCGTTTAAGGAACAGCAGATTGACCAGCTGGGCTGAAGCAGGAGGAGAAAAGGGTGACACATAGGGGAAAGAGTCAAAACTAGAGGGGAAGGGTAGGCTGGCCAGAGGCTGAGGGGCCTTGGGACACAGCAAGGACTTGGTTATACTTAGCGATGGGGTGGGGGAGCCAGAGAGACACTGAAAGAGTCTGAGCAGGCCAATGACTCAAGCATGTTTTAAAGGATTACACTGGATGTTGTATTGATAATAGACCAGCAAAGGGCATGAAAGGAAAGCAAGGAAATTTGGTGGGGTGGGGGGGCGGGGGTTGCGTAGGGCGTGCAGTGCAAGTGTGCACAGGGCAGGCAGGCTCCCTGTGGGTGTGGGCAGAGTCCGCCGCTGTCGGTGGGATTTTATAGCCCTTTAATGTTGAATCGGGGAACAAGTTTCTCTCAGCCCTCCATCCCCCATTCTCCCTGTCAGTCTCATAGTCTCGCCTCAGTGACTCCACCCTTCTACTTCAGGCCTCTGGGCAGAGGTGTTCACATCACAGGTGCACCTGCCCCATGCCCACGCCTCTTGGCCTGGGCATCTGAGCACTTAGGAGTGCAAGACTGAGGTGCTTGCCACAGAGATTAGTGGCAGGAGGGTGGAGAATCTCCTGACTCACTTCATTTACCCTGCAGGGAGTAACCTCAACTATGATCTGGACATGGAATATTGGTAGTTCAGACCTGGTTGGTAGCAGAGGAAGAGGTGACATGTGGTTTAATTTTGGGTAAGTTTTTAAAGTAGATCCAACATGATTTCTTGATGAATTAGAGGCTATGAGAGTCAAGAACACACAGGTTTTTGGTCTAAGGAATTAAAAGAACAGACATGTGATCAGCTGAAGTGAGGAAGGCTATGGGTAGAACAGGGTTTTTGAAGGAATGAATGAATCACCTTGGGCATGTGAATGTCGAGATATCAGACATTCTAGAGATAAGTTTCCAGCATGTGGCATTCAGGAAAAGGGTCTGCTAAGGATGTAAATGTGGGAACCAGGATCAGCTACTATACGAAAAGTCATCTAAGAATAGGGCTAAATATAAGGAACTACTGTTATTCTTGCACCAAAAACTTTGGCTAGTATTGCTGGTCACATGAGAGAAACCACGAAAATAGTGTGACAGACAAGAGGGCACTACAACTGATATGGAAGTCACATCAGCGATGTGGAAGTTATTAGGACTCAAACATTGCTGTACATTTCTTCTGGGTTGTGATCTAAAATTTCAGATGCATGAAATCGCTAGTGCACTTTAAATGTTTTTTTTCTGAAATGTAAATGCAAAATAAAAGGAAACATAATTATGAACTTTTTAATTTCCACTGTAGAATGGACAAAATACACTGATGACTGCCTTGCAAAAAAAGTTAATCACTTGACATATATCTCATTTAATCCTTGCTTCTCGAAGGCTGTGCACATTGTGCAAATAAGAAAGGTTAAATATGTGATCGCATATGGTTAACAAACACCAGCGCAGAGCTCTAACTCCAAATCAAATGAGAATTACTTGGAAAATTCAAACAGCATAATTCGAGAGTGATGTGAAAGGAAGTGGTCCTTATTTTCCAGCATGATAGTGTTCCTTTTAGAAAAGATTTAAATACTTCTAAGTACACCTCTATACTCAGTAGATTCTTCTGCAAAATGGTTGCTAAAATGCCATCTCCTTCCTTTTTAATTTTTGCATAGGTTAATTCAGTTGACTTTTTAGTTTCAACACGGCGATTACAGTAAGTTTATTTTTTTAATTAAATGTATTCTTTAATTGAAGTAACGTTAAGATCCTTTTTTCTTTTTTAAAATAATCTAGCTTTCGCTCCCATGACTCATGATTCTCATCATGCCTTTTCTTGCTGATTTCTGGCAAGCTGATACCAATAACTAATCACAAAATGGACAACTCATTTTAGTGTTATATATACTTGCAGATTTTACCTGTGGCAATGATTAGATAAAATAGTATCATAAACTGTCAATGATTAAAAAATTATCTCATGTAATATATGATACAATTCATCTTTATTTTTAAAAATGTATACCAAAAATATTTTTGGAAACTAATTTTCTTGGTTAAACAAATTAGAAAGCTGACTTGCTTCGATTCTGGAATTGAACTAAACTACTTCCATTCTAATTGCAAAAATCCCCCACAATCATAAACATAGCCTTTCTTCACATCTGTAAAAGTTCAAGTTGATACCACTTAAGACAGTACACGTGTTTCCAGATATTGCCTGAGGCCGTCTTACACAGATCCGTAGAAAGCAGGTGTGCAATTATAAAGATAGGTACATTAGCCTTGGCTTCTTCATCATATACTTCTACAGGAATAACAGCCAAAAGGAGCATGAAAGTAAAAAAGCAGGCACAAAAGGATGCAGAGGGTAAGTCTCCCACATACCTGGTAAAGTGGGCCACACAAGAGAAACCAGGAAAATAGTGTGACAGACAAGAGAGCACCAAGCGTCTGTGCGTACAAACTAGATTGCTTTTAGTTACAAAACAAGGTCAGCCTCATGAATGCAGAACACAGCAAAACCATTTAGGGACTTGCTGGCAGTTAGCACATCTTACAAAGTGAGAAAAGAAAAGCCAACTTTTCTATGCACCAAGTGTTTGTGTTCAAAAAAATGTCTCCGAGTGTAATATGGATGAGACTCATCTGCTCTGTGGCTGTTGGCCGTTTTCCATGGGGAAAGAACACAAGGATGCAACTATCGTAATGAGCTACTAATTCAATATTAAAGAAACATTACTGTTTCAAAAAATGTTCCTTTAAATTTCACTAAAACCTAGCAAAGATAGTTTAAAATTACAGGCATATCCTGTAGGTTGTCTTGGTGAGTTATGAGGTGGTTAAAGAAACAGCCGCAGGGCCTCCCTGGTGGAGCAAGGGGTTAAGATGTAAACTATGAAGCTATCCGCAACCTCTGCAACATGAGTTCCATCCCCGGCTGGCCAGTGAGCTACCCAGATGGCGCAGCAGACCTCTCCTGACTCGCCCGCTGCTCCCCTCAGCAGTGTACTTCAGTCAGTCCGCCTGTTCTGTTCCCCACTCTGTCTCTGGCAAATCCTCTCACCCCCTACATCTCTGGCCTATACACCAGTTCTTGCATGCATAAATAAATCTTAAAAAAGAAAGAAAGAAAGAAAGAAAGAGCGAGCTGCAATGTGCTGGGGCAAAATATTGGGGAAAAAATTTAATTTATATTTAAATTTACCATTTTGTGTATCAAGTACCTATTGGCTGAACAGAACGGTATTCAATAATTCATATTCTGCAACTTCAATTAATAGAAAAAGCTAAACAAAGATTTATAGTTGGACACATGGTTCCAAAGGCTGCGGTCACCTATCATTCCCTGATAAGAGAATTTATCATTGGACAAAAGAGCCAAGTGGAGAGCTAGACTGAAAAATGCCATTCGGTACTGTGCGTGTGACACACTGTGTAGTCATCTAAGGAATATCCTGTGTTATTTGGTTTTCTTTTCTGGGCAGACCATCACAGCCCCGTGACTTTAAAATCAAACTCCAAAATCCTACCTCATCACCTCAATGAGGGCAGTTGGATCATAAAGATTCAAGAGATCGTCTTAGTCAATGATCAGAAAATGTGTCACCTGTTGTCCCTCTGCCTCAGTTCAAGGATAACTCAGGGTGACTGTGAGGCTTTCCAATCAGAACAAACAATTTAATAAATAATTGCCTGTGCAGTTTTTTGCGTTTTTTTAACCTACATGTGGAGATGAGAGCAAGTGAAAACAGTGCTGGGGTGAAGACAGAGAAAATCCTGACTATGAGGAACCCATAGCATTCCTCCAAAACTCTTGTGAATTCCATGACCTCATGGTCAAATTTAAACCAGTAGGAATAGAGCTGGAATTCCAAAACCCCAGAAGAGCTAATAATAAAAACTGCAGCTGATTTTATGTACCAGGAATGAAATGTTATATCTATCATTCACATGTGGATTCATGCAATTTATCTTCCATTAGAATTATCTATTCAGCAGCTAAACCCAGAGAACTGCTGATACATTGCAGACAAGGAAACATTTGCTAGTCTCTCTGCTCTGGCCTTCCTTAAGCTAAATGATGATGGCACAATATAGATCACTTGTTCCATAAAACAATTTTGGCTTACGTGTGGAGCGAGCTCCACTGCCAGCATTTACATTTGCAACATCACTTCATTCCTTCTGGCAAGTTGGAGGTAGGTGTTCTTTCAGCTTTTTTCATTCTACTAATTTGAACCCCAAATTCACACAAAAACAGCATACAATTTTTCATTCCAGAACTGACTCTTTTAGAATGAGTTAAGAGCTATTTTCAAAAATCAGATATTTAAAACATTTTAACTCCAAAGACATCATGTTAAAATAATTCATATATTTATAACTAACACCTTTACCTCAACACAATCTTGACTTCCAAATTTTTCAAGCCAGTGTCAAGTATACTACCTTACGCAGACAGTGGTATCTGAGCTCAAGTTTAACACGGTTCACACTGCCAAAACAAGCAAACACAACTCAGAAATCAATGTTGTAGTCTCTACTGTGGTGTCTTCGAAAGTATGTACAAAGGGAAGCCAACAAGTAATTCACTAATTTTAAAAGCAGTTTCCATTTTTGATAAGGATACATTCAAACTGGTTTCAAAGAAATCCTTAGAGCCTTAGTATGCCAGTAGGCAGATTTGTAAAGTCCCAAGTCTATCCGTGGAAACTTTGATGCCATAAGCATCTCTTAGGAATAACACTCCACAGAAGACTTGAGAAACAAGTTAGGCATTTTGGTGCATTCAGAAGCTTCACTAATTCCTCAACCTGTATCAGTTAAATTTAACAACAAAAATCATTTTTATAGCCAAAAAGTCTGGAATTTCACTCAGAAAGTGGGTATGTGTACAGGGACACGGGAATATACCTGTTTTCACGTTACATCACTTTCACCCCCATAGCAAAAATATGGTCAAAAACACCCATGTTAGTCACGTTTGATGATGGCTGCGCAAAACACCTGAGCAAACTAAATCATATACAAAGGCTGTGGAGAGCAAAAACAGTGGAAGAGTTTTCACTTGCCCAAATGGAATAATGCACAAATGCCACATGAAACTTTCAATAATTACATGTTTAGAACTGATGACCCTGGTTATCACAAGAGTATATTGTTTATGGTTTGGCAACAGAGTTCTCTATGAAGCATCCTCAGCACTACTGCATTTGGGGCCGGATGATGTTTGGGGAAGGTTTCTGGTCCATTGTAGGACGATGCACAGCACCACTGGATTCAAGTTACCAGATGTCGATAGCACCACCATTTGTGACAACCAAATGTCCCCAGATGTTGCTCAAATATAAGAAGATCGTCCCCAGTTGAGAACCATTTCTGTTGAATGAAAATTAAAGCTTACACCTTGACCCTACTCCCCTGGAGAATGTCCATACACATACCAGGACCTACATGCATCAATAAACATCTAGTGATTAGCAGCATTAGAGACCTTTCTAAATTCTGCATGAGCAGAAACATAGGTAACTTGTAGATGGTAGAAAATGGCTAGGAGGAAGCAGTCTACACATTTCAAAGAGAATCAGAAAAAATTTTACTTGTCATCTTAGCAACAATTACCTGAATCATGCTTGACAAATATTTTAACCATTTAGAAAAATGTTAATTGCATATATCCATTATGGAGCACAAGGATTGAGGCAGTCTAAAAATAGAAGACAGAATAATCATTAAAGGTAAGCTCAGACCATATTCTATTCCTTGATCAAATATTGTCCATGAAATTCTCAATCTAGAAATCTCAAGTTTTGTCTACTTTCTTATACTGCAGCCTCATCATTTCTTTCCATTTTTCAAGAAGAAGCCCTTCATATGTCAAGAAGAATCCTGTTAAGTGTCAAGAAGTACATTATCTAGTTTTAAAGCCATTTCATTCATATCCACTTCTTTGGGTTGATCAGGATTGTCAATTCCAGACACACCACTCTCTTTATTTTGTTCTTTTTTGACTGTCTTTAAACACTTGTCAAGTCTCTTGATGAACAAGTCCACATCCTGTGTCTTCATTCCAATGGCTGATGCAGCATTGAGGTACGCACAAGGGTAATTATTTGTATGTGACATAAAGCCTGTGAAAGTGTAGCCACTCACAGTTTGAACAGATCCGAGAGGCACAACCCTGAAAGGGAAAAAGATTTACCAATTTAATATGTTTGGTGATATTAAAAGAATGTCACCTATAAACAAAAGCTATCTGTATTACTAAGTCTTACATCTGTTTTTTTTTTTTAATTTTTCTTACATCTGTTAACCAATAAATTCGTAAATAGTCATAAATCACGGCCTATGAAAGCAGACTGTGTCAACCTTAGATTAAAATTACATGACACACAGCTATTTTATACAGGAATGTACTGGCTAGTGATTACCATTTATCTTTACTTTTTTAATACTGATTTGAGGTAAAATTAACACATCATCGTATTAGTTTCAGGTGTACAACACAGTTCCGCATCTGTGTACATTGTGAAATGATCCCCACAGTAAGTATAGTTACCATCTATCACCAAAGTTGAACTTTTTAGGACTTAGTCTCTTGGCAACTTTCCGGAGTACTCTACGATGATACTGGCTGTAGGTATCACACTGTGTACTACATACCTATTTATTTTATGACTTAATTTTATACATCTGCCCCCCCTTGACTCATTTCCCCCACCCTCCACACTTCTATCAGAGTTATAAGCTCAAAGAACTGCAAACACCTGTATATCTTCTTCAAAGAGGTAAAAAAAAAAATCATGTTTTTGCATTAAATATGAAATCTGACTTCACATATGCACACTTCAATGGAAATTTCTAAGCCAGATCACTCTGATTAATTGCCATGTGTCACGGCAAATCATCTACATACTATAATTCCACCTATCTGATCAATACCACCAATGGTGACTTTGAAAGGAAGGATCCAGAAGAAATTATGGAACTGTTTACAATGAGGGGTCATCAGCAATCAGTTACATTCAGCATGACATGTGTTTTTAAAGCTGGATTTCACTGGCATACTTGATAATAAGCAGATTTCTAATGGTACTTTATTTTTTTAAGAAGTCAATTAAGTTCAACCCAGACATAAAGACAAATATGACAAGACTAAAAGAAAGGTAAAGAAAACCACTTAAGAAGTGGCAACACTATGCTGTATACATATGTAGTTCATCAAGGTAACAGTTGAGTTACTCTAAGATTTTTTATTTTAAAAAGTTGTCCTCTGGTGTGAAATCCTAAACTCTAGGAGTCAGAGAGAAATTCCTTGGGAGACACTTGCCAAGAGGAGTACTTAGAGCAAGACATGTCTTCTCCATTCATTTTTCTTTGCCTTCATCAATATAAAATGAAAAATGAGACTCATTTTTAGGCTATGTACATGTAAGAGCAAAAAGTACATTTTTCAAAGGCAATACTTAGATAGGAATTGCATAATCTTTTTACTTTAGGAAAGAGACTTTTCCTTAAAACCATTTTCACTCAAACTTAGTAATGAAGACGACTTATTTCTCACACTACAAGGTAATACCACTGAAGATTATCTAACAAAGAAAAATAAAGATAAAAATTTGTAGAGAGAGGTGATGAAACTCTGTGTGTATGTGTGTGTATTAAAACAAACAAGGTTCCTATCTTTCTGTGACTATTTCAAGTGCAGTCGACAGGCGGGAGGGATCACAGCCTCCCAGGTGCTCATCGCTGATGATGAAAGCACAGGTGGAGCTCAGCACAAACCTGGGGCACTACTGTTAAGGAAAAGCTCTTTACCAGTGTCATCTACGAAAGGCCAATAAATTCAAATCTTTTTTAACATACTTACCTGGCTCCAGAAACGTGCCTGGTGAAAAGCATTGAGCCTAGCTGAGTGACAGCTTTGTCACGGTGTTCATCAAGTGTCTTAAGCGTCACAGCTGGGGAAAAAAAAAAAGTGTCCCGAGAAGCCATGGTTTACCAGCACAAAAATCAGTCAAAAAACATCCAGTGATGCCGCCATCACTTTCTTTTATTGTGTTAAAACACATGTAACATGAATGTACCACCTCACCCACTTCAAGAGTACCAGGCAGTGGAATGGAACGGACACCCACACCGCCACCACCACCCACCTGCAACTCTCGTCATTGTAGAAAACTAATACTCTTGTTAAATAACCCCACTCACTTCTCCCGGCAGCCCCTGCCAACCCTCTTTATACTTTCTGTCTCTCTGATTCTAACGACTCTGAACACTTCATTTAAGTGGAATCATACAGTAGTTTTCCTTTGTTACTGGCCTATTTCAGAAATAGACATTTACTCATTGTCAAGTGGCAAAATTTCACTGTAATGCATTTAAGTTATAGTAAAGATTTGTTTTTCATATCAGACAAAAATATGTTACTAGAAAGGAACAGAGTCAGAATAGGAACAGAATTTTTCTATCACCCTTACAAAGGGTAAACTTTCCAATTAAACTGGACAATGATACGATCGAGCAGTTTATTCCAAATCAACCAAGTTTCGAGACTTGTAAAATGAGAATGTAGGATCTAGTTCAGCACGTATTCCTAGGTTACGTGGATAAATTATATTCTAATTATAAATCTAACACCACTAGCTCTCGTTTATTGAGGACTGATTTAGCACTCACGCTAGATACTTTACAACGATAATCTCAAACATTGTTTACATGTGCAGAATCATTATTTTAGAGAGAGAGAAAAGGACATCAGAAGCCAGTATTGGCAGAACTGGGATTCAAACCATCATCTACATCTGCATAGACGAGAAACCAGCTAAGAACTGGCTGGGGTGGCTTTTATTATGTACTGGTAGCCAAACAGTTTCCCATGGAAGCCCATTCCTAAAAAAAAGCTTTTCTTTCTTTCCTTACTTTCCTCATATACACATGAAAGAAGAAACAAATTATACTATATATATTCACAAAATAAAAGGGGGTAATCATGAAGCTAAAAAAGGAATTAAATGCTTAGAAGTCAACGTTCACATTATCCTGTTTTGCAGCACTTTGCTTCATGACACAAACAGAGACCCCTATACAAACAAATGGAGTGGTTGTGAATGCAGGCTTTTCTCTAGAGGCACCAGAAAATAAACAGCAGCAGCATTAGAAACAATATAAAAAGATTTAATTTCTGATGTTAGGGTGTTTTATTAAGTGGTAGAAAATTTTAAATATTTACATAGAGTTCTCACTAGTGACCAAATTACTTTGATTAGAAGAAGTTAAGAGTTTATTTTCTGAATATATTCATTATAAAACTTCATGGGATGGATTCTTTCAGCATATGTGTTTTATCTTAGAAATACACTGAAGCATTTCTTAAGACTAACTAAACGTTTTCAATTTACAGATTAATATTGGGATAAATTTAGAAATATTGTTTAACCAGAAAGAACTCACACTCTAGAAACAGCAATTTCCTGCTGGGAACAGTTCAGAGGTAAAAAATTAAAAAAAAAAAAAAATCACCTAAAGATATGGGATTGTGAGGTGTATGTAACAGTCTTTCATTGTAGGCTTCTGAAAGCTTCTTCAGTTGACTGGACAAATATGAAAACATTTCCTGTAACAACAAAATGTTAACATTTAAAGAAAGTCAAATACTTCAACATGCCGGATTTAATAAGACAAAACCTGACTGGCATGAAGTCTACACTATAAATTAACCCATTCAGGTGCCATAGGAGCAGACTTTTCCTTTGCCACAACAGAGTGAGATTCAAAGTGGCCACAATGGTCAGAAACCACAGGATTCAGGTAAAGAAGGCTGAGAACCAGCATAGCGCCACTCCTCTGGGATTATTATGGAGGTGTCACAAATCTACCCCCTTTCCAGAACCGCCAGTCCAAACAGACATCAACCTCTTCCCTGGACTACAACAACTGATACCAAATAATTTCTCATCCTCCTTCCCCACCTCTCCACAATCTGTTCTACATGCAGAGGTCAGAGTGGACTTCTAAAAGCATAAATCAGGCCTCATGACCCTTGAAAACACCAAACTCTTCCCACTGTGATGCCCCTCGTGATCTGGTCCGTACCAAACTCGGCAAATGCCACTCCCCCACACACTCATACACTTGCCATTTGCCAGCTACATTAGTCCTCTCCAGCCATTGACCATCCCAAGCTCCTTCTAGTGTCAGAACCCTTGTGCTTGCCGTGGCCTGGAAAGCTCTTCTCTGTAAGAGGTCTCTTTCTTTCTTTCTTTTTACAAGTGCTGGGTTACGAAACATACTGCTGAGGGGAGCAGCGGGCGAGACAGGAGAGGTCTGCCGCACCATGTGGGATTCTCGCTGGCCGGTTGGGATCGAACCCGCGCTGCAGAGGCTGCAGACAGCCTCAGTGTGGCGCTCAACTGCCTGTGCCACCAGGGAGGCCCTGTAAAAGGTCTCTTTCTAAGAGACTGTCCTTTACTACTCTCGAACTCGGCCCACCCCCAACTCCCAACCTCTGCTCCAACACCATTACCTTCTTTGGTTCCTTCATTATATTTATCACAACTTGAAATTACTTGTTTATTGGCTTAAATGAATACAGCCTATCACTACTTACTAGCATGGAAAGAATCCTTGAAAGCAGGGACCATTTCTTTTTCATCAAGAAGAATGTGTCAGACTTTGCATAAATGTGTCAATATGTAACTGAGGAAGAGTTAGCTCAAAAATGTATTTCCTTTAAACTGTACAAACCTAAAATTAGCAATTTCCTTATCTCAATGAAAAGAATAAAGCAACTAAAAACTAAAATTGCATTATTGATCCTACTCTGAGAAATAATGTATATCTAACAGAAAATATAGTGTATGAGTATAAAACTTCATGTGCAAACCTGTATATAAGTGGAAAGTTTAACAAAGTTACAAATAAATATTAAGTCGGCAACTATTTGACCTAAAATTATACTTTCTTCTCCTAGTAAGCATTTTAAAAAGTATTAAAATGAAAATCTGCGCAAGTGGGCAGCTAAGATCGCTTTGCACTGACCTCTTCCAGTCATAGTTAAAACATATAAACTCTAAAAACACACGAAGAGCCAAAGGCTAACAGAATACTCAAGTGAACACAATAGGAAATGATACTTCTCCAGCTTCAAAGGCCACAAAAGCTGCTTTCATGTGTTTTGAAGGTAAGGGGGATAGTCTGATCTCACACTGGGACCTAGAGAGTGGCTTTTTCACCTCTCACATACAAAGGTGACTCACTCCATCTTTGTTAGGTAGAGAGGAAAATTCCTACCAGACTTAAAAATGGAGCATTCAAGACCACAAATATTTTACCAATGCCAACCTAGTATATTTTATACTCTGACCTAAACAAATTTTAAAGTCATTCTTAATGTTTTATGAAATCAATTCTCAATGCCAGAATTATAAAGTCTTAGATCACTAAAATAAATGGATTCTTTTTGTATAATTCTATTTGTATTTTGTACTCAAAAAGTTAACATACATAGTGGTCATACCTAAGGGAGCTGTAAGTATTACTGTTGAATGTTATAAACCTTATTGTAGGCATATTTTCCTAGACAAATATTTCCTGCCCCCTCTTTTCTTAAGCTAATATTCTGAAATTCACTTCAGAAGGTAAAACAATATGATCAAAAGAAATCAAGAAATCAAGAGTGTTTCCGGCAACTGATTCAAAATCTTGTATTACCTCACCAGCATTAATAAAGAGTAGAGCACCTGGGTTTTATTTATATATTTCCATCTACTATAAAGTAATTAGGTTACTAATTTAAATGATCTGTATTGTCTAAAAAAAAAAAGGAAAAAGCAGCAGTCACATGTAGGTATTAACTGCTTATTTTTTTCAATCTATATCACACACCAAAGTGTTAACCTGTATCTGTCTAAATCTCTCTTGCTCTCATGGTATCAAACTCTCACATGTAGACACAAATATGACAGCCAGGAAGTGCCTTTTACACACGCCTTCATTTCCTTCTAACAGTAAAAAACACCAAATCTAATTCAATGGTGAGGATCAATTGCAAATAGTATTCTATCCATCATGGCTGCCACAATAATCACCAATGTGGTTACACTTGTAGAGTAAGAGAAAACTGATGAGTAGTTAATTTGTACTTAATTGACTTCACTAATTCTGAAAAAAGAAGAAATGTTTCCTTAGCAATACCCCTAGAGGGTACTTTTATTAAACTTACTGATGCATGCGCGGCTATTAAAAAAACCAAGATTTTCCTAATGTTTATTTTCTAATACTTTAACAAATTAGTTTAACCAGTTCTATCAATTACTTGCTTAATGCCCCTAGAATTTGGTTTTAACTGTAGCTAACATTAGGGTAAAAATCTTTCAGACTATAAACATAATAATAAGTAACTAAATCTCACATATTACCAGTACGGGAGTAATTAAACAAAAAAGAAAACATTTGTGAGTCAAGTTCACATCCATCTGCAGATATTTATAGCATCTCTATGTAGAAGTTGATGATAGGTAACCCAATAAGCAGAGCTTAAAATGCCTTAAAGCACAATACACTGAATCCTGTAATATTCCACATACCAAGGTCCTAGGACCTTGGTACTCACCCATCTCAAAAACATTGTTTGGGAGATTTCATCACTATTTCCTACGCTAATGCTTAGCTAAGCAGTTTTTTACCTAATATATTAAAGGTACATCAGAACCTGCACTATTTTTTGCTACAGCTAAATCTATAACTGACATTTATTATAAAATACTTCTATAGAGGGAGAAATTTATAAGCACCCCAAGCAAATGTATATAGAAAGATCTTACTTAAAGGAAATGAAATATTATTGATTTTCTATGTCTTTTGTGCTGTATTTAACTTAATTTTAAAAGACTTTTCACTAGAGATAAACTGAACGATATATTTGAATGCTAATGTCAGCTATATTTCTAGAATACAAATACAAAACTTTACAGCATAGTTCAAGATGTGAATGGAAGAGCAGTTGAATTATATTGCACACTATCTTTCCTACAGTCTTTTGCAAATTGATTTGCAGTCGTGACACCCAGCATCTAGCCTATCCTTTCCCGTAGCCAAAGGTGTGCATAATTCACTAAATTTTAAAGGAAAAGATCTTATGCAAGTGTGTCTTTGAAACATACTGTTTCATGCTACAGGATAAGATGAAAGCAGGACTTTACATATTATTAAAATCTATCTCCTAAGATGGGTAATAAATCAAGAGGGAAACATAACCAATAGTCTAATGTTTCAAAGACAAACTGAAAGGGTGAATGGGCAACAGACTGAAGTGCAGATCCATGCACACCGACATCCATGTTTGAAGATAACAGCCACATGCTGCCATCTTTGATGGCGGCCAGCAGAAAAGGACGCAGGCACACTGGGCTGTCCTCACATCAGAAGCTAAAGCACTGCTTCCAAATTCTCCTGTTGAGGTTCCAATTCCAGGGTTGAAATCGGATGCTTTTGTGGAGATTTAACTACTCCACTTTTAGGGCTACAAATCTTCTAATGTTTCCAAACTTAGCTCTTGAAATTATGTCTGATGTTCTTTTTAGAACTTAGTTTGTCCTCTAAGCTTCAGCTCACAAATTGCAGCTACTGAAGCAGTCATTCTGCTGTCATTCCTCTTTCTGCACTTGTCCAATTCAGCAGATATTTGCCACAATGAAATGTGCCTGCCCTGCTTAGCAAAGCATTCTTCTATAAAAGGAGAGCTATGCAGAGGAACCATCTTCTCTAGAAGCAAAGCAGAAGTGAGGATAAACTTCTAAGACTGAGCATTCTTTTTGCATAGAGAAACTCTAAGAAATAGTCTCTGAAATCTTAACCCCTTTTCTTAAAGGCCTCTTCAGTTAAATCCATGGTCATTTCTCCCCTCAATGAAGCAGATGTGCTGATCAGGAAGGGGCTAAGGGCAAAGAAGTTCAATTCACTCACACAGTTCCACTCTCTCTGATCCTTTCACCCTTCAAAAAAGAAGGTTTGAGAAGGAATGGCTTCAAGCTGAGTTCTTGTCTGCCTCTACTGTGAAAAAGATAAAGCTTTTCTGAATAGATATAGCTAGATGAAATAACCTCTAAAAATATCATTGTAGTGAATAAGAGCACAGAATAAAAAATCCTAAGTTTTCTTTTAACACTCCTTTTTTAGTACGCAATAACACCAATAATATAAAAAGGAGCTTTCAGTGATATATATAAATAGCTCTGGCTGGGGAAAAATAGCTTTGCCTCAGCTTCTCCAGAGCTGAACCAATAAACTATCACGATCAAATTTTCACAGTTCAAAAGCAAGTCCATTTAAACAAAAGAGGCTCTTACTTCTGCAACAAATCCAATAAAAAAAATATTTATGCCATATATACGCAATTATGGTTTAAGGGGGATATTCGCATTTTTCAACCAAAAAACTTGTCTCTTGAATGGAGTTGTTACAGAGCAAACTTGTATTCATTTACATAACAGAATTCTCAAATGAGCATTTTCATACATTGAAGATACTACTTATAGATAAGCCCTGTCCTAAGTAAACTCAACACAAAGAATTTTCAGTAAAACCAGTTAATACATTAGAGCCTTTGGGGTTTTA